CTTTAAAAACAACTCTAAATAATTTTTTAAATTTTTATTTTTTCACGTTTGTCCATTATTTGCTGGTTGGAGTCCAGCGTTGACCTGTCAGTCCTCAAAGAGATTTATTTTTCATTCAGTTTCTTAAAGGTAATTTTAACGTTAATATTTAAATATTTACACTGATATCAGTTATGCACTGCACAGTTATTCAGACAGAAATTTAACAATAGCCCTGAAGTGCTACAGCTAGATGCTGCTTTTTGTAAACAACATTCAAATGTTTATGTATATAATTGTGTAATGCTGAATGGATGAGTGTAAATGTCAWTAAAAAAGATTCACATATACTTTATGTTTTAGGTTTGGAGTTGTTTTAAGTGGTCGATGACCTTTTTGGTCTTGGTCACACTTGGACTAGCCTTTAGCTCGTCAGTCTTGTTAGAATTTGATTTCTGAAAACRGAAAACGTTAACAGAGCTACCAACAACAGGTAAGATATTAACTGAGAACCTTCCCACAAACTATCCTTTTGAAACAGTTATTAGAAGCATTTTGTTTATTTTTAATACTTGTGTAAAAAAATCTGATTTTTGGGTTGCATTTATGTGGAGAAAACTAACCGTAAAACAAATAAATCACTTCTTTGTTGCTGCTGTCACCTCTGAAAGAAATTAATACTTCTGTTGCAGAAAACTTCTTCCACATTGCCAAACTGAACCAGCTGCTGGTGCTGAGTCAGCAGCTGGAAGAAGACATCCAACACCTGGGAAGTCATAAGTACATTGCCCACCAGCTCTCAGTTTTATATGTAAGAAGAATCCTGTTCCTTTTTACTTGAAGTGAACATTCCCTCATTATTCTAAAGCTTTGCCACTTGCTCCTTTATGTGTTTTTTTTATTCGTCTTTGCAGCAAGTCATCAGCTCTTTCAGGGGAATTCAGGTCTTCTCAGATATGAAGAAGGATATCGAGGCCAACTTCAAACAGATGAAGCAGTCTCTGGTGGCAGAGGAAGGCTGCAGGCACGAACCTCAGCTGGCAGCTCATTACATCAACTGGTGAGTTAATATTGAGTGCAGGAGATAGTTATTATTATTATTATTATTGCAGCAACAATCTGATTAATGCCGTCTTCCTCCATGTAGGATTTTAGAAATAACTCAAAGCTTAACGTCAGTGGTTCTGTCACTGCCAGAGGAACTGACGGAGGACCTTCATCAGACCGTCATCTTCATGTCTCAGTTTGTGTCCTGAGTCCCGCCTGCATCACTTCCTGTTTCCAAACCGTGGGACTGACTTTAAGAAAAAGGTGCTATTAAAGTRGATTCAACTGAGTTATGGAGTTGGACTGCAGACTAATCACAATTATTTTCTTTTTTATTTCATCTCTGAATGTGGCTTTTGTTATTACCTGTGATCAGTTTGGGACTGAATGTCATTTTGTTGAGTCTCTCCTTGCACTACACTGTAATTTACAGCTATTATTTTTTAAACTAGGGTGAAATAAATCAAATTGAATGCGAGACAGTGTGGGGTTTTGCTTCCTTGATTTATGACAAGATAACTGTAAACAACAGTTCAGACGTTTTTTTTATCCTTCGCGTTCTGTGGAATGATTATGAACAATTAATAACTTACCTGACAGCTGAATCAGCACCTTGTCATGGGGGAGGAGTTTGTGTGCCTGAATAATCCTGTAGGAGTCTGCCATGTATTTTAAACACCCGGGTGACGAGAGGAGCTGAGCTGTCAGCRGATCACCATAGTGAGCAGGGGGACGATGCCGGACAGACCAAGGTGCGCTTGCAATGCCTGGTGGATAAACTCATCAGAAAGAGCTTCAATTCGCACCTCCAAGAGAACTTTAACCCAGGGGTGGTTCTAGGGGCGGGGCCACAGGGGCATTGGCCCCAGCTGAAATCTGATTGGCCCCTGTCCTGTCACTCATCTGTCCCTTACCTGGGAGTGATGATGGTGGATCCAGTTCCATGTTCAAACACTAGAGGTGCTAATGAGTCAAATAGTAAAGTCCAGAATGAATCAAGCTTACAGAGTTCTTCTTCTCTTCTTAAGAAAATTTGAACAATCCTGCAAAAAAAAAAAAAAAAAATCTTTCATCTGAKAAATGATGGCTGGATTTTCCCACGTTTGTTTGAAAATATTTTATCTATGTACAGTAAAATGRATGAAAAACTGGTGAGGAGAATTTACTGTGCAAGATTTTTGAAATCACTTAACAATCAAGCTCCCCTTGGCTTATAGAGTTTATAGTTAGGTTATTAATTCATTTGTAAAGTTTATACTTTATAAATCATTAAACAATGAAACTCGACAATTTTGTCMCTTTCTCATCCTTAATTATTGCATAATAAACACTTATTAGTAATTTTTAAATTGTTTACAGATTAATTAATAACCTAACTATAAAACCTTTAAAAGCCATCTATAAGGGGGGCCTTTTTGTAAAGTGGTACCTCTTTAAAAATATTACATTACATTACAAGTGTTTGAAGTGTACACTGGGAATTTGTGTGAAAGGATGTTAAAGACTTGGCACCTCTATGAATATTGTGGCCACTTGATGGCCCCTTACTCAGACAAATCCTAGATCCGCCACTGCTTCAACCWCATCKCAGCTGAGGTGGAGGACACAGAGTGGGCCATGTTCTGCACCTCTCCTATTGGACGATCTTAATTTGAAGGAGGGGAGTTTCATTATTGATGAGCTAACAGCTAGTCTAAAGTGGATTGCTGCTGTCTTAAAACAACTTCAGCAAACAAACACTATTGTATGACCCTTTCACACTGCCATTAACTTTACATTATAAAATTATTGACATGGAAATCTATTTTCTTCAACAATAGTCTGATATTTGTTTCTGCTCAGTCCCACTCCAGCTTTTCAGTCAGGTTGAGGTGATAATTAGCGTGGAGTGTTGGTTTTCTCCTAACATGGTGCTTTATGTTTACCCATCTGTCCCAAAGAACAAAGGGCCTCATACAAGAACATTTTCTTATTCTTATCCAAAATTTATCGTACTTTTGTTAATACGGACCGTTCTTGCATGAGGCCCATTGTTCTTGAAGTCTTGCTTCATTCAAACATTAAACCTAACGTGCTGCCAGCATCTTTATAGAGAGAATCTCTTGCAACCCTTCCAAACAAGTCCCACTTTTTCAGGCTGTGTCTAACAGCAAAATTATAAACTTTAATGCTTAAGATTCAGGTTAGCAGGTTAAAGTTTAACCTGTGACCTGCAGAGTTTGAGATGGAGCTATTGTGGTTATTGCAATTTTACAGATCATGACGAGGTCTGACCTTGGGGTGAGTTTGTTGGACTGTCTACTCCCAGCC